GACCGTGCCGGACTCGCGTCGATTAGTGGCTCAACAGTGACGTTTGGAGGCCACGAACCGCTTTCTACTCTACGGCTCTTGTCCTTCGGCGTTGTTTTTGCAGCCACCCATGCCCCGACACCAACAGTAGTTGACACGTGAAGGTTTCTTTGTTCCGGCGACATTCGATGTTGACCCATCCTTATTCGGAGCTGGTTTCGAGTTACCCACACCCAAACGGGACTAGATTTGGGTTACACGCCTCTATTCGAATCCAAATAGACGTTACCCATTGCTCTTCGGCATCGGACCAGCAAGCGCGAAGCCTTTCAAACTTGGATGTGGAAGTCCGAACCTCCTCGGCGTCGACCCACTCCTAACCCAAAAGGTTTGAGCGTGAGTTAGTAGGTAACGAATTCAGCAAAACGTTGTTTCGGTTCAAATTAAGCGTTTTTAGATGAACTCTAACCCGAGTTTGGTTGTTTTGGATTTAGTAACCGTTCTGCGAGCTTAGTAGCACGTTAGGACCTTGGTGGTAAGTTGTTTCTTACTTGAGGGGATTGGTTGTTGTGTATTAATATGAAATAGTTGTTTGGTTATGTGCCTGTGTGTTATATTTGCATTATTTTTTGTGGTTGTTATCATTTAGTAAACGTCATTGCTGATATACACATGGCTGGGTGAATAAATTGTGAACATGTAATCTTGTATGGCAATGGGGATTTGTTTATGATTTGATTGGCTTGCGTGACGAAGACTGTGTTAGTTGTTCTGGTACTATAATTTGTTATTTCGAAAGTATACAGAAAATTGGTGAGAAGCATGTTGTGTTGAAGCATGCTGGGTATCTGTTGATTATGTATTGGTTAAGTCGTTGGTTGTGCCTCTTTTGTGAACAATGCATGCTATAGTTGTTGGATCGTGCTGGGCTAATTTAAGTTGTTTGGTATTTACGGATGTTTTCTGCATATCGCATATTGGACAGTTTTGAGCTGATTGACGTATGTGTCATGGCTTAGTAGGATGTAGGACTCTGGTGAGAGCGTAAATTATGTTATGAAGGGAATCAGTGAGTATCAGCATTCAGATACAAAGGTCGGGGGTCG